TTAGGTTGGGAGGGGGTGGGGGGTTGTTGTTTGTGTGAGATCATCTACCTGGGACGAACTTGTTCGCAGTTTACGGGTCTGTATTGATTATCGTAGTTGTTGGAGTTTTTAGAATATGATATTTTGTCAATTGTTTAATATGGATTGACGTGTATGAGCTTAATCAATGAAACTATCAGTTTGGGAATCAAGATTGTGAATTCAACCCTTTCTCCATTCATTAGCTAGCAGTGGCACTCCTTTACTTTTTATTGATTTGTCTGAATTTCGGTGGCATGTTGCTCGCTATTAATTTATGTATCTCAGCATCTATACAAGGATGCATTTCAAAGATCATATTTGTTCCTAACTTATTGACTCTCGTGAAGAAATGTAACTTTTTAGTATATTTTGAAATTTTATGCGCAATACATGTTAACTCAACTTGGGGATGGCTGTTAAATAAATGCCTAGATTGATTGAGACAAGAAGTGACATTCTTATATTGTGTTTTTAGATGGAAGAACATTCATCTGAACTCCAGGTTGATTCAGCGAGAGATATTAATGGTGTAATTCAGAAAGTCACTGAGGAATCATCTCTATCATATACAGAAGGTAGAATTAGCTGCAGTCCCCGTGCTGAAACTGCAACACCATCTGATACGAGAGCTGAGTTCTCTGGGAATACTAGTGTTGAAGGTTCTTCTAGAAACATAACAAATAGTCAGAGGAACTGCTTGTCTGAACATGAGGAGCTAGTTCCTCCTTATCAGGTAAGTGCTGGTCATAGTGGTCATGAATCACGTAGTGATAGTAGCAACACAGCTAGTACTTCATTTGTAGAACAGCAGTCTTCAGATCCAGTCTCTGTAAATGTTTCTGCTAACAAGGATGTAGTCAATGATGTTAATGATCCAGTGGTTAGTGGTGTCTCTCAAGTCTCCCATGAGACAATGCATCCAAGAAGTTCAACTCCTCAAGAGCATGGGAATTTTGGTTCTGGTGAAATTTCTGTTGAGAATCACACTAGTGCATTCATATCTATCCAAAATTCTTCCAACCCTGTTACTCAAGTGCCAGAAGATGAGCCTCGTCGCGAAACAATACCTTCAGGTTTAGGTATTCTTGTGTCCAATCGGGAAAGAGGGCCTGGAAATGATAGTGTGCTTCAAGTTGACGTGGTCACAATATCTTCTAACATTTTGTCTGGAAGCAGTGCTGATGCCATTGATCATGATGCCAGAAGAAATGGTAGAAGATTATTTTGGGATGCTTTTTCACGACGTAGTTCCAGAAGGCTTGGTGATTCTCCAACCATTGTCTTCTCTACTGGAGGTGCTGATGATCCCGGATCTCAGGATCGATGGCTAGTTGATTTTGGTAGTGATTTGTCAAATGACGGGGTTGGAGGTGCTTCTGGATATATGGGCAGTAGAATTCACAGGTTTAATGAACGAATGCGGCACTCAAGATCTGAGGTGATTCTGAATTTGGAGCATAGAATGCCTCAAATTGCCTATATCACCTGCTTGGATTTGTTAACTGGGTTTGTGATCCCTTTCATGTTACTTAAGCTGTTTAATTACTTTTTATAGATCTGGGAAAGGCTTCGTGGTGGCTTTGATGAGATTGGTCGGTGGAATTCATGTCCTTTAGGACTCCATGCAGATGGCATGTGCTCATGCGAGTCTTCCCCAATGGCTGAAGAATCTAGCACTCGAGCAAGTATTTCAAGAATAGTAATGCTGGCTGAGGCTTTGTTTGAGGTTTTAATCTTCTCTCGTACTTACTGTTTGCTGCTAGCTTTGGTTCAATTTAGTTTTCCACCCTGTTTTCTTGCATAATTTAAACTCTACACATCTTAATTTTTTTCTTTATATTATAGGCATTTAATTTAAACCTGGTTCTTTTACTGAGTTTTAGTCAGTGAAATCTAACTACAATACCATTGACAGAGTAGTTTGCTTATTGGATAGGAGCATTCTGAGTGAAGATGCTTTGATGCATTTGTTTTTAATCATTTCAGCCTCTTCTCTACAATGTTATGTCTCCTGATGACTGGGATTATCTGATTTCAAATTTTATTTTTTAGATCATTTCTGATATAATCTTGGACTGCTTTTATCACGCAACTTCTCTTTAGGGAAAAACCGATTCTTTTTCCTTATGTAGTAGGTCTGTGAATGTTTTGTAACATTGAGAATGAGATATCATCCAGTGTTTGTTCGCTAAATGTGCATTCTTTCAAAATCTAGCTGTCCATTGGAGAGTGGAGACCTTTTAGGATAGGGTATGCAACCCTATTATGCAAATTAAGACCGGATACAATGGAATGTCCAGTAGAACAAATGATCAAAATTCAGAATGTTGTTCTGTTCTATATGCTAGAGTTTTTGTCATCATAAACACCCACGAAGGATTGGATATATGTATATCATAGATTCATAATACTCACCCCTGAAAGGTGGTCTTCCCTCCTTTTTTGACTGTTGGCATTCTTCAGTATCTTGTCATGTAATCATTTCACAACGGATCATTGAACCTTATAATTATTTGTCCCAAAAATGGTTCTGAACTTTGCTCTTGCACTATGAGAATCAGATATGTGGACCAAAACCAATTCACATGGCACCATGTTTTCCCTCTGCAGGTTTTAGATGAAATCCATCGGCAACCAGGATCGCTGTCTCTGTCGATGGTCTCACTCCCTGCACCTGAATCAATTGTTGATTCCTTCCCTCTGAGATCTCACAAAAAGGTTGATGTAGTTGATGGAGGCAATGATGTTGAACAGTAAGTCTCCCCCTAATCCCAATTATCTGAAGCAAATATGTGGGCATAAATATTGTGATCAAAGATGTCAATGGGTCTATGGTTGGTTAGTTGTTGGCTATTTATGCTTGAAGTCTATGTCAGTGTGGTTATGATAGTTTCTTAGGCCTTGAATACTTGCATAAAACTTTCTATTTAAAGTTCTTTCTCCCAATATTATTAAAGAATAATTATCAATATGATAGATGTTATATATGTCTGGCGGAGTATGAAGAAGGTGACCAAATACGAGTTCTTCCTTGCTTCCACGAGTATCACAAGTCATGTGTTGATAAGTGGCTTAAAGAAATACATGGGTATGTCATTATAACCTAAACATCTCATTTTTACTAGTTTTCATTTGATAAATAACCACTTACTCAACTTCCCTCTTTTGCAGTGTATGTCCTCTGTGTCGTGGCAATGTCTGTGGAGGATTCACAGAGTCTTCTGCCCACTCAGAGGTGCAGTCTCATTGACATTGTGTACATATAATGTAAATATTAAAATTTAGACTAAACTATTTGGGTCCTCTAAAGTTACACTTGACATCACATTGGTCTTTCAAATATTGGTGTCATCAAAATGGTTCATACTAAATGTCACCGAAATTCTTTAAAAGAATAATTTGACATCACAAATTTTTAAAAGACTAAATTGATATGAAAATGTATCTTTGAATAGCCAAAAATAATGGTCTAAAATACTCTCGACCCATGACAATGATATGCATAATACGGCTGTTTATAGTCCAGAGAACAAGGATTTTGTATCCGAATTTTATGATGCTTCCGTTGTCCTACTCCCTAGTACATATCCATGGCAAGCTAAATAATTATGTGTATCGATCGTTTTTTATTTTTTATTTTCATTAATGGAACGGAAGGATGCAAAAGAGGGTTTAGGAAGAAAAAAAACGAGGGAATGGACAATAATGAAAAATTAAAGAATGGAGTTTGTCCTTTCCTTTATTTAGAAGATTAGTAAAAAATAGAAGGGGACTTTATTATTTTTTGGTTCTTCCTCATTCTACCCCCAATATTGAAAAAAAAATAAAAAATGGGGTCTTTGAGGGAAAATATCACGGAGATTTTTTGTGTTTTGTTCCCTCATGACAAAATGACAAATTTACTCTTATAAATTAAATCAGAATAGACAATCTAAAAGATTTTGACTTGGTTTGATCATTGTTGGTTTCTACAACACATTTTGTATCATAATTTAATCTGTTAGTATTTTTTTTTTCTGAAGTCTTATTTCACTTGTTTACTTGATCAGAGATTTTATCTTTTTATGAACCCTAACGTGTACGTATAATATACAATACAACTGCGCCATACGTAATCTCATTCTTTTTCTTGCAACCCTCTTGTACTTTCCATATCCGCTTTGTGTTGCGTCACCTAAACTTATTTTAGACAAAAAAAAATCTGTTATATCTTGGAAAAAGTTAACTCTAAAAATTGATACTACAAGAATAAATCTTTGAAGGCAACGTTGTCACAATGTCACATGCTTTAAGTTACCAATTCTTATACTTATTTTCTTTATATTTTTTCAAACAAAAATATAGTGTTTTTTTTTTCACTTGAGTACCTTCTTGTACCAAAAAAGAAAAAAACACACTGTGCAAGTATATATATTATATGGAACTCTGCCTTAGTTTTGTTATATGGAACTCAGCCTTAGTTTTGTCCGTGTCCTGTACTTCAAGGAAATGTTTTTGTCCTCAAATAATAATTGTATGTTTGAATAAGCACCATGATAAGGACAAACAATAAAAGTTAACTACGGCAAAAAAAATGAACTTCAAGTTCATAGAAGAAATGATGATTTATATCACTAGAAATTAACTTTATAGAAGAAATGATGACTTAATTAAAGTTATATCACTAGAAATGTTTGATAGAATAGTAGCAATATTGACATCCTGGCTGAGAGTAGGATATTATCGATAATTGAGACAGTAATTACAAATCTTATTTTACGTCTCAACAATATAACGGTTACTGTACGGATGGGCTCCTTAGAGAGGAAGCTGGTCCAGACCTTGAACTAAGCGTAACCACGAGAAAATGGATTGATGTTACTACTATTATCACGATGACCAAAGAGATTTGGATGAATGTTTTCGTCATCGTCAAATGTTGTTGTTGTCCAACCCCTAGAGTTGCTGTGTTTTTCTCTAGCAATGTTGCGCATGTTCTCCATTTCCGCAACATGATCTTTGAATTCTTTCTTCACCACATCCAGCACAACATCACCGTATCGGTCACACCATGATCTTCAAACACACAACAAACGCGTTATGTTGGAACTACATAAAACAAGTTATCTAAAGTTAATATTACATAATGTTGACTCACTTGGGAAAGTAATTTTTCAATTCAGCCTTGTCCACTGGAATTCTGGTAGAAATTGCTTCAATCTGATCATTCCTGTTAGTACAAGTAACTAGGATAAGATAAAATATAACAAAATAACTAAGAAAAATGACATATTAGAAAATAGAACTACTTACGAAAATTTCAGATTTGGGTTTGTGCTGCTCAGTTCTGTCTGGATTCTTGACAACTCCTTCTTTATCTTATCTCCCAAAACCTATTTATGGTGCACAAATTTTTTGCTCACAAGCCAACACTACTAAATTGTTTTTTTTTTTTAAAAATAGTAAATTAGATTGATAGATCGAAAGGGATGGAGGATCTAAAACCTTATCTATGAAGAAATCAGATGGGGAACCATCAGAATGCAACTTCTTCTTTATTAATTTGGTGTCTGGTCCCTCTCCAAGTCCCTTTGCAAAGGAAACTGAGTAGGCCTCACTATCATTATGAGGCAAAGGTGTTGTCTCATCTTCTGACTCATTTCTCTTCCATTTCTTGAACCCTTCAAACCCCCATTGCCTTTTAACTGATTTCCCTGATCTTTGTTCTTGCTCACCCTCCCTTTGCTCCTTATGGAACAAAGTCCTAAATGGTTTCCTCTTCAACTTGTCCACACCACTACTCTCCTTCACTATTTCTGGAGGCCCACTTTCCTCCATAAGAATTGACCCTCCTTCACAGAAGGGCTTTTCATTTTTGGCAGACAAAGAAGGTGAATCAAATATGCTCTTTTCATTTTTGCCACCTTTGGCAAAACCAAAAACTGAAGCTGCTCCTTTGATTTGCTTCATGGCTGATCCCTGATTGGACCTGCTCTTAGTAGAACTCGAATTCTCTTTGTTCATTGAGCATTTCTCATCCTTCAAGTCAATCACCGACCACTCATCTTCTGAATTCTCTTTTGAATCCTTAGTCCTTGCCACAATCACATCCCTAGCTTCAATCTGAGCCCCTTGAGCCGCCAGTCTCTGCAGCAATGGCCTCTTAGAAGAATGGTACTCTTCTTCAGAAATGCACTTGGCATAAAGAAGTTCCTGGTAACAAGAATCGATTTTTAAATGAAAAAATTGATTTTGAAGTGACCCCATTTATGTTTGGACGTTCCTATTCTAAAATCAAGTTACTAGTACAAATTTAATTCAACTCAAAATCAATTCTGAAACCAGAATTAAATCTTCACCACCAAAACCAAACATGTAAACATAAATTCTTGTCAATTGGTATTTCAAGATGATTCTATCATGAATTTGTTTTTATCATCAGGAAATACAGTTACCTCAACAACGTTGAAACTCAAGACTCTATACATACTACTCTAATCTATACTAGTAGTTCGTTCAGGTTCATTTTAACTTGAATCTAAACAAAGTAAAGTTGGTTGAATTTTATTTTTATTTTTTTTTTAATGAAAAATGGCACTTACCTGGAGGAAGAGGAGCTTGTCTCTTAATATAACGGGGTGTTCTTGTTCTGGGGGAGAAGCGATGAGGGTGTCGAGCAAGTGGGTTCTGAAGGCTGAAACCTCGGATTCAGCGACGATGCCTTCTTTGTGGAGACCCATCAAGTTGAGGACCTGGTGGAAGGAGTCTTGCTGCCATTTGAGGTTGTCTGATTGCAGCTTGGACAATTTATGTTCCGCCGCAGGTAAAGGTCGTTTTTTGAAGCTGAAGGGAAGAATGGTCTTGCACAGCGAGGTGATTGAGTCTTGGAGGGTTGAATAGTAGGTGGGCGTGTAATAGGAGTACACCATTCTCGATTGTTCAGTAGAAGACTTTTTGAGAAAAAGAGTAATAATAATGTGTTTTTTGAGAGAGTTGAAGAAGATGGTGTTATGCAGATTTTGAATGTTGGAGAACAGTCACTTCAAGCTACAAACTAGCCGTTGTGAATCAGTGAAGAAAGACCCGTCCATGTGGCGACCTTAAATGTCGGCGTTTTCTTTCATTATTTTTTCCTTCTCTAACGGATGAAATTTTATGTTTTAATTTTGGGTGTCATTACTCCATAAACTAAATCTCATCTTACGTAGCAAGTACTTTGTTCGATAACTACCCCTTTTATATATGGTTGCAACAAAACCATTGCTCTACATAAGTTTCTTCTTTTAAAATTTTAAAAGGTCCACGTGTAGGTAGAAAATGAGTAATAAAAGAGAGACATTCTACAATTTCAAACTCTCGTTGTCGTTGATAACAACTATGAATTTGTGTTTTTGTTTTTACCTATTGTATTGCATTTCCTATGGTATTAGCATAGGGGTAGAATAAATAAGGTGTGTAATATCATGAAACTTCAATGTAATTTTTTTCTTTTAGAAAATGTAGTGCTAAACATAGTGTTTATATTTAGCGTGGATGGGCAGAAAAAAAAAATCTTAATTAGAAGAAATAAAATTCTAATAATATTGATATTTAATTATAAAATCGTGTATATGTAAAGTCATTTTGTAATAACAAAGTCAATAAAAGAAAGACAGAAACAATAAATTTCTATGAGTAATTTTCTACATGTATTTAATAATCATCTTTCCTTCTTTCATTATAATTAGCACCTCACATGTTTCATTTTCATCATCCTAAATTATAGCTCCTCATTTGAGAGTATTAGAAGTTAGAGTATATCTAAATGAGTGTATTTTTCTATTATAAAAGAAAGAGTATTATCTCCTTATATTTAGAGAGATATTGTAATTTGTCTTCTTAGTGAAAATGAGTGTTTATTTAAATTATTTCTTATAAAAACACTTTTTTAAAATAAAATAAATATTTTTTTAATGTGTGTCTAATTAAAATAAATAAATAAATAAACAATTTTTACTTTTTTTTAGAAGCAACTCTTATTTATTTTTTAAAAAAATACTTTGTTTAGAAATATTTGTTTATAAATGCTTATTTTTAAGTTTAAACAAATAAACTTAATATTTCTCAAGTTTTGCTGATGATTTTTTCCTTATAAGTTGAGGATTTTCTATGTAAAAAAAATTGTATTTTTTTAATCTCTAATTTTTCCCTTATCAGATATTATTTTGTTACTCTGATACTCAATTTTATAATTAGTTAGTTAATGACCTTAGCAAGGGAAAAAATAACTAAAAATAAAAAGATAAAATATTGTAGTTTTACGTAGAAAAATCTATATAATGAGAATGAAAATATGAAAGATTGATACTGATACTGATCATATCATACATGAATTGAATAATGCACCCATTGCCGGAAGGTTGAATAAAATGATCAAGCAATCCAGAGTACAAATTAAAAAAGGTTACAGCTTGAAAAAATCTACACGGAAAGGAACAACGTTGTGCATCAACATATGGAGAAGCAAAATTATGTTCCGACCACTCCAAGCAGTTAAGCGAATCAACCAACAATGTGTCTTCAATCTTAAGCACATGTCTCTATGGAAAGAAATTATTAGACATTCATGAAAAAGAACCAGAATCATGATCATCGTCAATCTTCAAATAATACACAAGCAAGTTGTATTAACTTTTTTTCCATAAAAATAAAATTAAAAGTGGGCGAGAAAGTAAAACTATATTACAATAGCTCTATCAAAAGTTCGTTACACAACAACAAAATGATAAACACTTACATGTTTGATACACTAGTTGGTTGACAAGGAGTTCTTTGAATTTTTTTAAATAATTGGTAACTAAATGTTCAAGTATTTGGATACAGTACTATTTGGTTGACGTGGAGTTATTTGAATTTTTTAAAAATAATTGGCAAGTATATGTTACCCGTCATATTTGAATTAAAAAAAGAGCACTCTATATTTTTTTTAAATTGTTTTTCTTTAAAAATAAAGATTTTGCTAATAGAAAATCCTTAAATTAATTATGACATTCCCAATTTCACATATACAACAACTATAAATAAAAAACATTTAACCAAAATAATTGGACTATGCATAAATAACCAAGTGAGTAGCTTCAAACTTTAGAAAAGGGTTCCACATAACAACAATAACTTTTAATAAAAATATAATTAAAAAAATCTAACATCATGTCCTAAAATATGAATAACATAAATAACAAATTCTAACTATACTTCAATATCATATCTTATTAGAGTACTTTCACACAAGGCCTAAGCCTCGTTACCAACATCAGCATTATTAATATCACGATGAGCCTCACTTGCAACAATATACACATCAAGGCAATACAAAAAATGAAGAGTAAGAAATATTTCACTCTAACTCACAACGCAAAACAAAGTCGAAGAGCCACACACAACAACAAGATATCATTGCGCACGCGCGCGCGCGCACACACACATATATATATATATATATATAAAATTAAATTATTAACAATAAGGTACAATTGGATTAATCACGATTCACCACATGACTCATCACACAATACACACGTAATACAATGGACACATATTACAATTTGCATATACATGTGACACCATTCAAATACATACATACACACACACACACACACACACACATATATATATATATATATATATATATATATATATATATATATATATACACACACACACATATATTGATTTGTCATGTGCATATGATGCATGTCACACAAGACTTAATGCAATATCATGTTATCATCGTGCATATTCCTAATTTGTCAATTTGTCATCACATGACCTTCATACGATCAATACACAACAATTTGTCTATTTGTCAATACTATTTCACATAATTTATATAAACCATAGCTCATAATATCACAAATACACACTCGACATAAGGTGATTGGAATGATGCAAGTGTTGCTGCTGCAACCTGTTCTATACATGGTTTACTTAGAACCCAACTTCCACTATAAATAATTGTATCCGCCGTTTCAGTGAAACTAACATTGTTATAGGGGGGCATGCAATGGCTTAGTTTGCATATGTAGTTTTTATATTACAGATCATTATATCAAATACTGGGTTCGGTTTTGGAACCCCGCCACGAGAATCATGTCCGAAGATTCACCACACATAGTTCTTTTTGTGTATGATTATCAAAATGAACCCTATTATCTGAAATTTGGATTTGGGTTTGATGATTAGAGTGACACTTATAAGGTGGTGATGATCCTTTTGAATGTTCAGTCCCCTAAATGGGAGACGAGAGAGTTCTCACCTTAATTGGGTGATTCTAGTTGGAAGAAGACTTTAACTTGCCCCCTTTTTCCCTTGCCAGATCCAGTTGTTTGACAGTTAGTAAGTGGCACTCTTAATTGGTTAGCACTTAGCAGCATCGGTAATGGACCTTATGGTTATCAATGGGATAGTGTTACTATTGATGAGTTAGTAATATTTTCCTATGATCTAAAGAATGATACGTACA